TTTGCTACAATAGGCTCTGTTCTTAACTATGGGTCATCTGTAACCCAGGCATTCTTAACCCGGGGACTACCTGTAGTGAAAATGAAGTAATGGCAACTGCAATAGCAGCAAGAGAGGGAATTGATACAGTACCAGTAGCACCTGCTAATAGCTCAGAAAACACATAAAAGGTTTTCAAGCAATGAGAGGTAAAGCTACAGAAGTGCATCATGCAACTTCACCTTCCCTCCTCCAGGTTAGAAAGGGTGGAGAAATGAGGTGGCAGAGTGAGTGACTTCTCTGTTGGTTAGGGTGATTTGGCCCTAACTTAGAGGCAAACTCCCCCCCCCCACTTAAGTTACTGTTACTTAACCTACTGTTATTCATGCTCATGGGGATATTTTTGCAAACTTGTAATTGCTATCTTGTTATTTCAGTCTTTTGATGTACCCCAAATGACTAATATGCACAAGAGTTTATTAAAGAAAATGTGTGGGCTTATATCTTATGTGCAAGGCTATAGTTACCATCAGTAACATCGTTAGCTGTTCCAACTTACCTCTGCAACAGTCACAAGCAATCTATCCATGATACTATTTATTGTGGGATGGGGCATATTATGTCCACTAACTCCTCCTTTGCCATTGTTTCTCCTCTGACCATATTACCAGCACTCAGATGGAAGGAGGGAGAATGAAAGCAACCCAGTAGCTGTGGGGAAGCCTTTAAAGGGGGAAGCACAGATGGACAAGTCTATAATCAAGTAATGATCCTAAGGAAGCGAGCACTCCTGGGCCCTTTATATAAAGATACACTGGCTCTTCCTGTGAAAACAGTGGTTTCATTCAGTATTTAAACCTAGGAAAAGGTGGAAGGTGGCTGTGTACAGGGATAAAAAAACCAAGGGAACACTGTGGGAGTTTGGCGAATACTGGATGGGGCAGGAGGAGGTACAGAGAAAGAGAGGTCAAAGGGCTGGCAAAGTAGCTTCCAGCAGCAGCTCCATGAGAGGATTCATCGTTTGTAGCATTCAGCAATTGGCAGAAGTTGCTTGGGTGGTGTCGCAGGAGAGGGGACAGAATTGCCAGCTGCTGAGCCAGGAGAGTCTGTTTTCCGCTTGAAGCGGTAGGTGATGGGCAGTAGAAGCTTGCTTTTCTTGAGGGCCTGGACTTTCTTGAGTGTCTCATCATCCAGTGCCATAAAACATCGTCGGGAATATTCAAGCAGACGTTCCTTAGATGGGTCAAACTCACCCACTTCAGCCAATTTTTCAGGAGCAACAATAAGGAGCTCTGCTATGGGTGTGGTCAAAGCCACAGTGTTACGGTCCACCCGGTGATGTTCAAAGGCCCGACTCATGCTTTGCAGCTTCTGAAAAGTGTAGAGGATCTTCTTATACCGGCAGAGCACTCCATCCACATCTTTGACTGTATAGTGAATTTGGGTTCAGGTAGACAATACCATGGAGGGTAGAGATAAACAGCAATGTAATTGAAGAGCAAAATGCAGAAAGAGAAGAACAGCACCTCATGAACACCAGACACCATGAAAGCCAAGATGAAAGAAATGAAAAGTGCCATTAAGGCAAGAAAGTGACAAGTTAGGATGGAGAAGCAGATAAGGACATGATGTATGAGGGTTATAACATGCCATATACATCAGCAGCACAAGAAAGGCAAAAGGCAGAAAATAAATCAGGGATCAGGTTAAAAAAATATACATTTGGAGTTGAGAACATCAGAAGATATGAAAAGATGAAGACAGGGACAGAGAAGATAGGTTGCAAAAAGAAGGAAATAAAGAGTGAAGCAAGAAGTGTACATCACAATTGCCAAGACCAGAAATAGTAGGAAATAGGATGGTGGAGAGTAGTTTAGGGATGGGTCAAAAAAAAAGAAGAGAAGAGAAGAGAAGTATTATAGCTGTTTACCACAACTTGATGCTTTGGTGTGAGAAGATTTGGAGAAACTATGAATCAAAATACAGTATTTCTATACCTGTCAACTAGATAGCCCCTACAGACATTTAATGAAAGCTCCCACAATCCCTTGAACTGGCCATACTGGTTGAGGCTGTTGGGAATGTAAAATGTCTCAAAGACACTTCATTGCCTATCGTTGCTGTAGAAATGCTTGTTTTCAAACTCAGGATTCTCCTTCCTACCTCCTCCTTTTTTTCCTCAAAAAAAAAAAAAGCTATACTATAATATCATAAATCTATATTATAATACTGTAAGGTTTCTGCTGGATCAAATCAAAATGGTCTGTTTCAGGATATTGTTCCCATAGTAGCCAATGAGATGCTTCTGAAAAGCCAGAAATAGGACAGGAGAACACTAAGCCTCACACCTATACATATGTATTCCCTAGCAACTGGTAATCAAGTGCTTTGCTGCTTCACACATTTTCCCCTGTATATGTTTTCTTTTCCAGTGTTTCACTGCCATTGTACTAGAGCAGCATCTTCCAGGGGAGGTACCATCCTTGAGAGATGATTTTCAAGTTCAAGAGGGCAGTAAAAGCTAAGGGGACAGTAAGGGGGCATTGAGAAACAAGCAATCCTATTTCATGTTCAACATTACACACATGCTCTTTTGCAAAGCTCCCAGTCTTTCTTCACAATCATAAATGGGGATATATTCAATGTATAAATCAAAACACTGATTAAAACCATACCAATTGTAAAAACTATATAACTTAGTTAATATAATGAGTGCTTGTAAGTATTATCTTTGTTAACCATAAAGTCAGAAGATTTGACTGAATATACACTTACCTTTTATTTGTCTGCTGGTGGATGTTTGCAATAAAACATTTTCTATTTCAATTTTTATTGCCTTTTCATTTAATTACATGAAGGTTTTAATTTTATTTATATTGCACAGTACAATACTGTTTACCCATGTGAAGGGTTTCATCAGAATTCATGTTCCAGGCTAAACATTATTAAAGTGGGGAAAGATAAACAGTTTCAATGGAAAGGGAGTCTGATGAGAAAAAAAAAAAAGGTTGGGAACCACTTTTCTAATAGAAAATGCCACAGCACTCCAAACCTTTGCAGCCTCAGTACTCACCTCTCTGCCTCTCCCGGACTTTAGGCTTGGCAAAGCGTCGCCGGTTCACTCCTGCTTTGGGTTTCTTGTGTTCCACAGAACCTCCTTCTTCAGGGCTGGTGCTCAACCAGGAGCCCATGCTGTCATCATCAGTCACGTCCCCATTTCGGCTCTCTGACACCTCAGATCTCCGTGGGAGCTGCTTGTTGCAACAGTGATCATCTAGGTTGGGAGACCGAAAGGCTAAGCACACCACTTGGTGAGGGAGATGGGAAACAAGAGGCCTACTCACTTTGGCTACCAGGCTAAATTTCCCCCAAATCAGAGCACTACGAGATGTGATACTTTTATTCTAATAAGGATAATCAGCCTATGGTTCTTCATACAGTATGCTGCTAAATTCAGTGTCTATCAATCCCAATCAGAATGGCTCCTGATTGAACTACAATGCACATTATCCCCATCATCTAGAGGGCTGAAGGTTCTGAAACCTCATTTATATCTCCAACAACCTCTCCTTGACTCTAATTCAAGGACTGACAATGTAGTGTTTGCAGGGACCACAGTTCCCCCAATCACCAATCTTAATGTCCCAAATATTCCATCCTGCATCTGACTAAAGTGTTTTTTTTAATATAAAAATAGATAGGAAGCTGGCATGCCAAGCAAAAGCCCCTATATTTATTTGGAGGAATACCCTGGAGTCACATATAGGACTTAATGGGATTATCAAGAGTGCTTAGGAAACTGCTTTGACTTCTTGTAGGTGAGTTGACTAGCTATGTCCACCCTGGAAATCATGTTATGAATCAGCAAGTCCTCCATGGGAACCATTCTGTGAGTTGCCCACCACATGATCTCAAAATTCTGAATGTGCCCTCAAGCCAAAACTGTCTATTCCAATGGTCAATCCCTATTCGAAATTGAGCCCCCTCAGGAAATTTGCTCTCCCCTTTCTCTTAACAGCCAAAGTGTCATAGCACCTATACTCCTCCCCCTTTTTCTAGATTATTCTTCTTTCCAATAGAGTGCTTTCCGCTAGCCCTGTAAAACCACTCCATTAGCCTTCAGAATATGTACCAGCGTCCAGGCGGGCTGAAGAGATGAATTTGTCCAGCTGGCAGCGCAAGAAATCTCGTTCTTCTTCCAGGTCCTCAATTCGCTTCTGCAACCAAGAGTTCCTTTCCAATGCCATATGTAACTGGGTCCTCATATTGGTCACCAGGGTCAATGAAGGAGATGGCATCTCGGGAACTTCTAAGACACAATGAGAGGAAATTACAGGGGCTCCATTCATACAACATGCTGAACTGAGTAGTTTAAAAACCTAGTGGTTGGGTTTGTGCAAAACTCTAGGCTAGGCTAAAACAGTTCAGCAGTTTCTAATTCAGCATATTGTGGGGAAATCCAATCATTCTCTTAGAGTGCACTGTGAATCAGGGCACCAGGTTAAGCCATAATGTGGCTGATTTGTTTGGGTATAGTACAACAGTGCTTAGAGTTTGTGAACCCTTTTGAATTTTTAGTATTTCTCCATAAATACGACCTAAAACATGATCTGTTCTTCACACAAGTCCTAAAACTAGATAAAGAGAACCCAGTTAAACAAATGAGTCAAAAACATTATACTTGTTCATTTATTTATTGAGAAAAATTATCCAAAGCTACTTTTCCATGTTATACTGAAATGCAGAATTAATGCAGGCAGTCTACAGAGATCAAACTAGATAAAGAGAACCCAGTTAAACAAATGAGTCAAAAACATTATACTTGTTCATTTATTTATTGAGAAAAATTATCCAAAGCTACTTTTCCATGTTATACTGAAATGCAGAATTAATGCAGGCAGTCTACAGAGATCCCCTGACTATTCCTGATAAGAAACGTCTTTCTAATAGGTCAGATAAGGGCAATGTTTGCCTGAGCCACAAAATAGCCAACCACATTGCAGCCTAGTCTGTTGTACAAATTTCTGCCTACAAAGCACATGCTCTGCTAGGAAACTACAGTCTCTCACTGTTGCGAGGATTATATAGAACACCCCCCACCCCAGGGTTTATAGGAATCTATTAGGGCTATGCATTACTAGTCCTTGGTTAACAACCAGCGTAACAACTAGTCCTTGGTTAACAACCGTCGCTAAGCAATGTGGTTGTTAAGCAAGACATCACATGACTGCAACAGTTGTACAACCTTGCTTCTGCTGCAGTCATTAAGTGAGTCACTGTGGGTTGTTAAGTGAGACATTGCATGACTGCGACATGTGATTTTACTGCTGGCTTCTCCATTGACTCTGTTTGTTGGAAGCTGGCTGTGAAATGCACAAATGGCAATCATATGACCACGGGACGCTGTGATGGTCATAAGCACCCGCTGGTTGCGAAGTGCCCAAATCTCAACCATGTGACCATGGGGACACTGCAACAGTCGTAAGTGCGAGGACCAGTCATAAAGTTACTTTTTCAGCACCATAACTTTGAATGGTCCCTAAACAGGGCAGTCATTAAGTGAGGACTACCTGTTCTTGGGTTCAATCTCAGGAAAGGACACTGCTGCTTTAAGCTGTTGTAAATAAGTGCTACCTTTGTGCTCTCACCCACTCCAAGACACTTTCTGGAGATTGAATCCTCAGTGCTACACAGCCTTAGTCCCAAGATACACCAGTACCCTTTTCTACTGCAATTTCCATGGTGGTAACTGTGTCATTTTTCTCAGCATTTTTCCAGAGTTGTTGTCATAATCAGGTAAGAAACAGAAGAGCACATTCCTGTTCCCAATGGCTTAAATGGATTGCCTTGATGCCCTCTGCCTACATGATCCAGGGAAACAGTTAAAGGATGTTTAGATGCTTTCAAGGGGAAGGTGACATTGTTTCTCACCATCAAAATTTTCTGGGGCGCTCAGACCATAATATAACTGTTGGTGAGTTTGCGTCTGAGACTCCATTTGGCATGGTTCATCCAAAGGTATGGATAGTTCATAAGTTTCATTATTCTCTTTCACTGTAAATATAAATATGGGGGGAGGAGAAGAAATGTAAGAATTCTGGAACACACAGGGTTCAACATCATACTAAACCATGATTTGTTCAACTACAGTCTATTCAATATATCACATGGGACCTGGTTTACATAATAGGTTAGGGCACAGTTTACAAATCTCAATAACAGGTTCATATAACACTCAAACCAAGCAAACAATATTATGGCTTAGCAAGGTGTGTGAACTAGAGCATAATGTTGTTTGGACGCACCATAGTTCATGAAGTCCTAAACTGAGGCAAACAAAAATATTCCTGGTTAAAGATTTTCACTGACAGCTAAATAAAAAAGACAATTCCACTGGCAAGAAAATAAAGCATAGGAAATACTACTGTGTAATAACAGTCCATGCTCATTGGACTTGTATAGCATGCTCAACTACACATTTAGTTTGCTTGTGTTGTAGCAAATGAAGAAGCAGTAGAACAGGAAACTATACCCTACATCTGAATCTTGTCCTGTTAGATTTTCTTCCACCGCTGGTATGTATCACTTCATTTGAAAAAGTTATCGTGAACAAGATTTCATATTACACACATTTTTACAACCGCATATTTTCAAAAGGAATGTCACAGTGTTTTGTTGGGTTTTTTTCCATCATGGCACAGAGGTGGATGCCTGTTTGGTAGACTCACTTTGCTGGGAATTTTGAGGATGATGTGGATGATGCGTGGAGGTGTTTGGCGGTCCTGATTGGTTCAGTGGGTGGCCAGCAACGTTAGTACCAGTTATCTGGGGCAGCAGGAGGAATGGGAAGCAACGGAGGCAGATGGCGTGGCGGCAGCAGACCAAGGGGCTGGAAAGGGCCGGTGGAGCCCTGTTGACATCTCCCAGGGCAGCAGCCGAGTGGGACTGCGTTGGGCAGCAACCCCTCCACTGCGGAGGCTCCCTGGGGAGTAGGCAGCAGGCAGCGGAGCTCAGTGGCGCTGTGGATCAGCTGCCTTTACTCCAGCTGATGGGTGGCGCAGAATGGACTCCGGAGGACACGGCAGCATGGCAGAGCAAGTGCCAACAGACTAATGGCTTAGCCCCTGTCCTCCATCTTGAGTCTGCCGCCACAGAGAATATAAAGACAGGCTGGACCGGCACAGGATGAGGAAGTGGTGGCGGCTCCTGGCTGCTGGAGCCCCTGGTGGAGTGGAGGGCTCAGAGGGCCAGGCGGTCTGTGGCAGCAGGAGACCGGTGGAGAAGCTGCCTTGCGTTCTGCAGCTGCTGCGCAAGCGGCCACACAGCACAGCAGCCATTTCAGTGGATTCCCTCGCCTGTCTGGGAGGACTTGGGGCTGAAGTTGCTGACACCCGGATTAAGGACATTTGTATGGACCAGGAACTTTTATAGGGTTTGGTAGTTGGAATGGGGGCTGGGTGTGGCTGGGGCCTTCTTGCTCCCCTCGTGTGAGAGACGGGGGTGGGCTGGGGGGGCGGCCACACACTGCCTTTGGGGGGGTGACTTTGCTGCCTGGGTGAGAGCGGGGGTGGGTGGGGAGGTAGGGGGTGAAAGAGGAAGGTTTGGTTTGGGGTGCTGGAGAGTTGTGTGAAGGAAGGTTTGGATGAGGTGCTTGGATGGAGGGCCTGCTAGGGTGGAGGCGCTGAGCGTGTTACAGAAGCACCAGAACCTGAACGGAGCCTGTCTGTCCAGATTGTTTAGGTTGGATGTAGATGGCTCCCGGTGCCTTGGGGATGGGAGGCTGGGGGGAAGGGGACCCAGATAGGGAGAGAGGGGAGATGGTGGCGGAGGGCATTGCAGTGGTGATGGGCATGGGGAGGTACAGCAGGAGACAGGAGGTGGGCCACTCTCAGGGAAGGTGGCCCTGTTGTTTAATACCAGTACTGCGTTCTGGCCCCTTGGGCTCAGCCCCAGGACCTGCTTTCCAGAGCTTTGGTGGCTCTGGACTCCGGCTGCTGCTGCTGCTGAATGCCAGGTCGGCCTGCAATAAAGCTCACCTCATCCACGATCTGATTGGACAGGAGAGCCGACCTGGCTTGTATCACTGAGACCTGGCTGGGCACTGATGGGAGGGGTCCCCTCTCTGAAATGTGCCCTCCTGGGTTACAAGTGTGGCATTAACCACAACTCCAGGGCAGGGATGGGAGTATGGTTGTTGTTATTCGTGAGTTTCTGGTGGCCTCCACAGGCTCTGCCCCAGACATCACCGGATATGAGACCCTTTTTTGTGAGGCTGGGCCATAGGGGGTCAGGGGGGATTGCTGCTCATTTACCTTCCTCCCTGCAGTGTAGCTGCACGCCTGCCTGTGCTCCTGGACTCTGTGTCTGAGCTGGCGGTGGAGTTCCCCAGGCTTATGGTTCTGGGGGATTTCAACCTGTCATCTTTGGGCCCGGGATCTGAGGCAGCACAGGAGTTCATGGTCACCATGGCAGCCATGGACCTGGTTCAACTTATTCATGGCCCAACTCACACAGCAGGGAGCCATACACTGGATCTGGTGTTTGCCTTGGGGCAGTGGCGTTGTGATCTGGATTTGGGGGGTGTTAACATCAGCCCCATGCCATGGACAGACCAATCCCTGTTGGCCCTAAAGTTCTCAGCAGCTGTCCCTCACCGCAGGGAGGTGGGGCCTATTAGGTCGTCCCACCCCAGGTGCCTGATGGAACCAGTGCAGTTTCAGAAGGAACGTGGGGTTCTTCCTGAAGCTCTGTCAGGCAGTTCAACTGATGCTTGGAGTGAGAAGCAACGGGAGCGATGGACCGAATTGCACCTGTGTGGACTCTCTGTGCACGCAGATCTCTTAGAGCGCCATGGTTTACCAAGCAGCTCCGAGAGATGAAGCAACACAAGAGACATCTAGAGCGCCACTGGAACAAGATGAAGAGTGAAGCCAACCAACCACACAGGTAAGATCCTCTATTAGGACTTACCTTGTGGCAATAAGGGTGGCAAAGCATACTTACTTCTCCACTCTTATTGCATCTGCAGGTAGCCGTTCAGCAGCCCTGTTTCGGGTGACCGGGTCCCTCCTGGGTAAGGAGGAGCCTGGGAGCTCCTGCAGGGCTGCTATGAGGAATATTCTCGGGATCTATCAGATATAAAGTCACTCAACTTCACTCGGAGTTGGGCTCTGACTGGGCAGATCCACGTTTGAGCCCTCATATCTGGGAGGAGTTTAAGCCAGTTGATCTTGGGGAAGTGGACAGGGTCCTCATGGCTGTGAGCTTGGCCACCTGTGTCCTGGACCCATGCCCCTCCTGGTTGGTTAAGGCCTCCTGGGAGGTGGCATTTGCCGGGTCCAAGCAGTGGTTAAAGCCTCTTTGTGGGAGGGGGTGGTACTGTCTGCCTTGAAGGAAGCGGTGGTGTGCCCCCTTCTCAAGAGGCCATCCTTGGACCCAGGCAAGTTTCATCCACTCTCCAACCTTCCCTTTTTGGGAGAAGGTTGTTGAGAGGTGGTTGACACGCAGCTTCAGAGGGCCCTGGATGAAGCGGATTATCTGGACCTTTTCAGTCTGGGTTCAGACCAGGATATAGCACTGAGACAGCGTTGATCGCACTTGCTGATGACCTTTGGAGGGCTTGGGAAGGGGGTGGTGCAACTGTCCTGGCTCTCCTGGATCTCTCGGCAGCCTTCAATACCATCAACCATGGTATCCTTCTGGGCTGGGTCTGGGGGTTGGGAGTGGGAGGCACCATTTTGCGGTGGTTCTCCTTTCTCCATGGCCAGTTCCAGTTGTGTTGGTGGGCAAGGAGAGGTCAAGCCCTAGGCCCCTGCAGTGTGGGGTGCCTCAGGGCTCGGGTCTCTCCCCTCTGCTCTTTAACATCTACATGAAACCTGGCTAAGGTCATTTGATGGCACGGGTTACAGTATCATCAGTACACTGATGATACCCAATTATTTATTTGTTTGTTTGTTTGTTTATTTATATATATATAGAGAGAGAGAGAGGGAGAGAGAGAGAGAGAGAGAGAGAGAGAGAGAGAGAAATTTTAATTGATATATTATTGTAATGTATTGTATTGTAATTTTAATTGATTTTAACTGTTTTGTAAACCACCCAGAGTCATTTCAATGAGATGGGCGGTGACAAATTTGATATATAAATAAATAAATAAAATAAAAAATAAATATATCTCTAATCCTGGCCAGGCAGGCGATGCTGTTGTGGTGTTCAAGTGCCTGTATAGGTCTGGATGGGGATGAACTGACTTCAGCTCAACCCTGGCAAGACAGAGCAGCTCTGAGTTTTTGGCCCCCAAGGTCTAGTGACTTGTAATCTTTGACTCTGGTCCAGGTTACACTCCCCCAGACCGAGCTGGTGCACAATTTGGAGGTCCTCCTGGACATGGCTCCTGCTTGACGAGCAGGTGGCAGCTGTGACTAGGGGGGCCTTTGCACAGATCTGCCTTGTGTGCCAATTGTGCCCTTTCCTGGACTGAAAAGCCTTGCTCATAGTCACTCACGCCTTAGTTACAGTATTTCCCATTTGGATTACTGCAATGCGCTTTACATGGGGCTGCCCTTGAAGACCACTTGGAAGTTACAACTGGTCCAGAATGCAGTGGCGTGCACAATATTGGGTGTTCATTCGCCCATGTTACACCTCTTGCGCAAGTTGCAGTGGCTCCCAGTTTCCTTCTGGGTGCAATTCAAGGTGCTGGTTAGCATGGGACCTGGTTATTTGTGGGACCATCTCTCCCTCAGAATACAGGTAGTCCTCAACTTACGACCACAATTGGGACCAGAACTTCTGTCGCTAAGCAATATGGTCATTAAGTGAGTCACACCCAATTATACAATTTTTTGCCATGGTTGTTAAGCAAATCACTGTGGTTGTTAAACAAATCATATGGTCATTAAGCGAATCTGGCTTCCCCTATTGACTTTGCTTGTTGGAAGCCCCCTGGGAAGGTTGCAAATGGCGATCACGTGACCCTGGGACGCTGCAACCATCGTAAATACATGCCAGTTGCCAAGTGCCAAAAAAGTCTGATCACATGACTGCGGGGATGCTTAACAACAACTGTGGGGATACAGGTAAGTGCGAGGACCAGTCGTAAGTCACTTTTTCAGTGCAGTCGTAACTTTGAACAGTCGTTAAATAAATGGTTGTAAGTTGAGGACTATCTGTATCTGCCTATCCCACTAGATCAGATAGGGTAGATGTGATGGAATGGTTTGGTGAAGGCCGCGCTCGGGGAGATAAGCATTTCCTTAGCCCCCAGCAGGAGTGTGGGAAGGTTAAGAGGATGAGACTGGCACAACCCTAAGGAATTC